TTTTGGGTGTTTTATTGTTGCCCATCCCTCAGTGTGTTACTGCTTGGTGACGTCCCTACCATTCAGGATCTACGATCTGTTGCCTGTGTCCTTCAATGAACGAGAGAGAAAATAGGATTTTTGTACTCACCGTAAAATCCTTTTTCTCTCCGTTCATTGAAGGACACAGGCCCCGCCCTCTTTATGGGGTGTACACTCCTAACTGCTTGTTACTAAACTGGAGACTTGTCAGCAGGTGGGGGGTTTGGCCACTGGCAGGGGCCGCCCCTAGGCTGTAATTGGTCTTTAGTTTTGTGCCTAGCGTCCTTCTCCTGCAGGTGGCGATATTACCCTACCATTCAGGATCTACGATCTGTTGCCTGTGTCCTTCAATGAACGGAGAGAAAAGGATTTTACGGTGAGTACAAAAATCCTATTTTTTTGTAACACTCCATTTGTGTATTTTATTTTAAAAGATTGGGTTTTTGTTTTTTTTAATCTGTTTAGTCGATTTAATCAAAAAATAATCGGCCAACTAATTCTGAAAATATAAGTTAGTTGCAGCTCTAATGCACAGAACTTACATTTGTAACAGTAACATAATTATACTATTTTAAAGGCATTTTGTAACCCCTTGCAGTGGGGCTACAAACCCCCTCCCCCCTTTGCGAGGGTTTTTCTGTGGGACGTTTACTTACCTGATACTTCAAGACCAGCACCCACAGCCTTTTCCTCTCTGCACTCCAATGATCAGAGGCCCACTGATGTCAACACGTCTAATGCAGGACCAATAGCCTTGCATTATATGTGAGGATGCAGAGTTGAGAGAAGGTGAGCGCTGACTGCCAGGGGAGCAGGGACTGCGTAGGTAAAAATCCTCTTTACCATACCCCTAGACATAAATGAGTAGTTAACCCTTGCAGTGCGGGGGGGTAGACCCACTACAAGGATAGTTTTTTTTTTTTCTTACCAGGTGGTAGACTTTAACTTACTATGCATTAAAACAGAGTGTAAAGAACAACTCTGGGCAAATTACAAATTAACACTTGCAGTGGGACTAACCCCACACTGCAAGGGTTAAGTGCTCGTTTGGATCTAGCGTCTAAAATAAAAAAAAATATATACTCACTTGAGCCTTTCTGACTGCTAGAACAGCTCCCACTACTTCTCTTTCCCTCCACCGTGGCTGTGTCCCTATTGAAGAGCTTTTTCTTCACATTCTGTGCTGGGACAAGCATCACTGGGGCAGGAAGCAGTGGCGTAACAATCGCAATAGCGACCCAGGCGGCCGCTATGGGGCCCGGGCACAGGGGGGCCTGGCTAGGTCATCCCTCTGATGCCGTATGGGTTGCTATGGCATGTAAGAGTGCTGGCTGTCACTGACGCAGCTCAGAAGCGGCGTTTCCCCCTCACAGCCGCTGCGGAGCTGTGTCAGTGACAGCCAGCAGCTACGGCAGAAGAGGCCAGCGTTCGCAGTGAAGGAGGAGGTGGGGCCTGCCTAAGAGCAACCCTGCCTCCTCTTACATCACTGGTCAGCGACCTAAGAGCAGGTGGGACCAGTGATGTAAGAGGAGGCGGGGCCCGTCAATAGAAGAGGAGGCGGGGGACGGAAGAGGAGGCGGGGCCCGGTGACCACGGAGGCGGACAGCGCTGACAGGTAAGAGGTGTGCAGCCCATCTGAGACCCTGCAGAGCCCACTATAGAGAGTCTATGGTGGGCTCTGCAGGGTCACTTTCAGGTGGGCAGTTTGGTACATCAGGTGGGCTCTGCAAGTGGCATAACTTGCAATCACGGGGCCCCATACAAAATTTTGCTATGGGGCCCTGTGATTTCTAGTTACGCCCCTGGCAGGAAGTGAGGGGAAATCCTCCTAAATGAGTTTGATGACAGCTGTGAAAACATGAGAGGTACTAACCTTTCCACATTTTTTTTAAAACTGAAAATTTTTTGTCTGGAGCTCAATGTTTCGTTCTCTGTCCATCTTCCTGTTCTGTGCGAACTACTGTTATATACCACCTTGTATTGTTACTGGCCCTTTAAATGAGAAGCTGTATAATGGAGATTCTGTATTTTACAGATGACACTCAGAGTAACCTTGCCAATTATCTGCTGAAGACAGTGTGCACTGATATTACCAATCTCATCTTCAATTTCCTGGCCGGTGATGTAATGATGGCAGTGGAAGTTTACACCACCATTACCAGTGAGGTATTAATATCTTTCTCTTACTCTCTGCATTAAGAAACCAGCGTTTTCTATGCTTGTGTTTTCTCTTACTATTATAAGCTAAAGTGCAGCCACTGGAAACATTGTATGAGTATGTGTATTCAATTGTACATAACGAAACTAGGTGATGGATGGAGAATTCTGGAAAACTGGGGCTTAAAGTGACACTAAACTCAGGAGTTAAATCTGTTAAATGGTTACTTTTGTTCCCCATGGTCCCTGTGTGTGTTGAACAGTAGCCACAGCTCCAAGCTCACTCCTTTGATAGCCTGTAATCTTCCCTTTAGTTTACTAATTTGCATTGAGATTGTAGTCTATCACGGGACTGAGCTTGGAGTGGTGGCTACTTTACAACACACACAGGGGCCATGGGAAACAAAAGTATCCACCCTCCAGAAGGAAGGACAGTGTCAGCACCAATTCAGAGATGATTTGAGGATCTACAGCCGAGTGATACACAAATAAGAGACATTTTTATTAATAGTTAATGTGCTTTTTTAAGATTTAAATCCTGAGTTTAGTGTCACTTTAAGGGAACATTCTTCCAATACAAGCTAGAGAAAGGAATTAAGGACATGATGATGACGTCAGATCCGTGAACCTCAAGTTGTTTTGTCCTCTGATTTGACAGAAATCTCTGAAGTATTGTTATGTTTTGATCACTTTATCAAAGCTGTTAGCATTTCTCATAATTGTTGTTATACTGTCTTTGCTAAGCATGCTGTACCATAATATGGCATCACAATAGGTATGATTGCATTTGTGTGGCATCATTATCAATGTACAGAGTGGTGCCATGGTATGACACTTCATTGTATGATGCTGTTTTGCATGTAATTATTATTGGGTGATGAAAGTTTGAGTGTAACTCGAAGTGAAATAGTTCAGAGAGCAGTCTGATCCTTGTACATTAGAGTCCTCTAGGGTACTAGTGACTGGATTTACTACATTGGAAGGGATAACAATCAATGTTTGTACTTCTTTTATATCATGACTTGCTTCAGTTACTTATTTTGCTTTGTGGGAAGTAGCTCAGCCAATATATTAACATATTCAAGGAGCCGTATTAAGCATTTTGATTTGGTAAGCATTAATAGTACTAATATATCAGCAATAACTGATGTGAGAACATGATTGTACGTTGTTGTATCGCAGAGTGGTGTTCCTGTGCTTGTGTGGGTTTCCTCCGGGTACTCCGGTTTCCTCCCACGCTCCAAAGGCCTGCTGGAAGGTTAATTAGCTCTTTGTCTAAATTGGCCCTGTATGTATGCATGCACGTGAGATAGGGACCTTAGATTGTAAGCTCCCTGAGGGCCGGGAACTATGTGAATGTGCACTATGTAAATTGCTGTGTAAATTGTTAGCGCTATATAAATAATTATAATAATAATAATCTGTTCTATTTTTCAGGTTAGAAAGAAAATGTTAAATAAATTCCAGGAGGAAGCCAAGGGCCCTTTGACAAAACTTAACAGCTCCTTGTCTGGAAAAGTAAGTGTTGTGAATGCATAATGTTTTCATACAGTTAGTGTCTTATCTGGATAACCTGTGCTTTGCTTCAATTCTCTCCATCCCCAGCAACTCCATTCAGTACTGGCAGCCTGGTTCTGCATTTTGATAACATAACCCCATTATCACTTTAGTGGGGTTACAACTAGGGATGCACCGAGACCGGAGTAATTTTGTTTACCGGTATTCGCCGATACCAATTTCCGAGTACCGGAAGTCCCATTCAGGAAGCCAGGTGGCGTGTAATGGCTCGTCACCTGGCTTCCTGATTAGCCGGGCAACGTGTAAAGACTCGCCACCCGGCTTCCTGATTAACAAGAAAGCCGTCCCATACGAATCCCTCAGTGCGGATCTCTGTCCCCTCTCACCTCGGCATGTCCAGCCTGTCACCCCCCGGGGCCTCTCCACGATACCCGGCTTCCCGATACAGGATGTATCGCGCTAGGCATCGGAGCATTTGGGCGAGTACTTGCCCAAATACTCTGTATCAGCACCGCTATCGATACTAGTATCGGTGCATCTCTAGTTACAACACTTTCTCTGAACGTGTTTCTGAACATCAGAGCAGAGGATCGGCTTTTTAGGCATAAGAAGCTTTGTATTTGTGTGCATCCATTTCTCTTTTGCAGAATGTATTAACTGAGTAGATTCAAACCAAGAAGAAAACTTTTAGGCCTTGTTCACACAAGCGCGGAGCAGGTGCAGAGCAGTTGCAGACCGGATCAAAACTGCGTCCAATGTATTCCAATGGTATTTTTAGCTCCAGTTCACATCGCAGCGTGCAGATCCAGAGCAGGTGAAAAAACTGCAGCAGGCCCTATTTTACATGCTCTGGATCTGCAAACGCATCAACGCATCAAATGCCTGGAACGCACTGAAAGCCCATGTTAAACTAAAAAAAAAAAAGATTTAAACCAAAAACGGCCCGGAATCCATCAAAAACGCGGCAAAAACACGGCACAACCCACTGCACTGCGTGTGCAGAAACCTGAGCGGATCTGCTCTGCATTTGGTGTGAACAAGGCCTTAAGGGTTGATGAATTAAAGGCAAATAGTCTGTTCACTTTGCAAGGGAAGTGTCTCCTTCATTTAGTAAATGAGGTGAAGCTCTACTGACTTCCATCACCCAATCATGTGCAAGCAAAAAGGTTGTTTTTTTATTTTCCTTGCACATGATTTGGGCATACCTTTTTAAGGTGATATGTTTATCACATTCACCAAGCTGGGGGGCAATGTTCCCTTGCAAAGTGTACAGCCTGTTTCCCTTTAGGAAATCAACCCCTTAGTTTGCAGAATGCAATGAAGGTTTTATTGCTTTGTACTGGAATTTTAACATACAAGTGATGCAGCCAGCTTGTAACACCAGGCTACTTAGTCTTCATTCACACTTGCGTTTTTGTGCTCTATATGCAGAGAAAAATCTGGCTAGAGGCTATCCTGTAAGTTTCCCAGTTATATGTATGGCAGTGTGTTTGAAACTTTATAGAGACAACACAAAAGAGAGTAGTGCCATAGTTTAGTTTATCAATATCAAATGTATTAATCAAATATATTAGGGCTTGTTCACACCAAATGCAGACCAGATCTGCATGAGTTTCTGCACACGCAGTGCAGTGGGTTGTGCCACGTTTTAGATGCGTTCCGGGCTTTTTTTTTTTTTGTTTAAAATGGGCTTTCAGTGCGTTCCAGGGCGTTAGCATGTGTTTTCCAGAGCAGGTAAAATTAGGCTTGCTGCCGTTTTATTACATGCTCTAGAACTGAACGCTGCGGTGTGAACTAGAGCCCAAAATACCATTGGAATACATTGGACGCAGTTTTGACCCGGTCTGTAACTGCTCTGCTCCTGGAACGTGCTTGGTGTGAACAAGGCCTAAAAGATGCACTCACATAATTGTTTGTGAGTGCATCTTTTCTATAGTTTTATTAAAGCTGAACTCTGGACACAAGAACTTTTCATTAAATATATTCCTCAATAGCCACAATTAATATAAAAAGACACCAAATGCCTTTGCAAACTCACATTATAAAGTAGAGGTGACATCATCACTGTGCTTCACATGGCCTGATCAGAGAGCAGAGTTGAGGGAGGGACCCAGCAGGTCATGCCCACTACTGGCTTTCTGCAGAAAACTACAGGATGGGGCAGAGACTGGACCAGTCACCTTGCACAAGGAGAGAGAGCAGTGACTGGTCTTTATTACAGGAAGCTCTTGTACAGAGGCAAAGTTTCACACTGGATTACTGCACATATCTGGAGGAAATACACAAAACACAAATCCCGCTATCGTACGAGAATCGTGCAGTGTATGGAAGGCGTGCGACCGTTTCTAATGTACGGTCGCACGACTTTTGTATTTCGAGCATGTTGGAAAACCAGCCGAGAATCGTACAATTTTCGGCTGGTAACATGATCGAGAGACAACTGCCGAACGGGCCAGTTCAGCATTGCAGTAGTACATAAACTCTGTACATTGTAATTGTTTTATCATTCTGTAGAATAATGGAACAATTGCATTTTTCTGACTTTGACTATTTTTAGGGGATCATCAAATCCCAGGAACCTGGTGGCACCTAACTTTTTGGCCTCTTTTCTGCTGTCAGCGTATGGTCCCTGGCTTCTTAAAAGCCATTCAAAACGACTTACTGGATCCAGGCATGCATTTGTCCATTCCTGGGTTATGAAGATTGAGAGTATTTACGGTGTCTTCAAGTTCCATTTCCCTATTCTTGGACAGGAGAACTTTTCAGAGGGGGCATTACAATGACAATCAAGACACTAAGACAATCAATCTACTAAAAGATGTTTTACATTGTGTATTTTGTTTTCTTTACACAGAATATAGAAGAATTTCTGTCTTTTCTGGACTCGGCAGCAGATGCATGCGGCATCCTAATGAAGAAAGGAGATAAGAAGAAAGAAAGGTACTTGCATCTGTTAGGCTGGAATGGAATTGGGGATGAGCACATGTAGTTAGTAGTTTAGTTTACTCTCTCTCAGCCTTTATCTGCTTGTTTACAAACTCAGAAATATATGGGGCTGCCATTGCTGACTTTTTCTCTTACAAATGCTAGTTTCTTGGCTATCACGTTGATCCTATGGCTATAATATACCTTTCTTGCGGCACTAACCTGGAACAGGTATGTAAATCAGGCGTTCAGACTTTGACTTTGATTTTCAAATCTTCATACTGCTCACTCTTTGTCAGTAACTGAAAATATTGAAGCCAGAGACACCTAGGAAACTAGTATTAGGAGGTGAGCAATGGCAGCCCTCATATTTCTCTTGGTACAGGTTTCCTCAACGAGCTTGAAAACTGCTAAGAGATTATTAAAGGTTTAGCAGATGCTTGTCAAAGCCAATGCTGCTGAGACTAGCTTTTATAAGCTAAATACAAGTAATTCTCATGCTCAGGAGCCAAATTGGACTGGATAACAGTTTTCCACATTTTGTGGATAAATGTAGATACTAACTCAGTAAAAGTAGCTCAGTTGAATGAACTCCCTTATTGTAAACACTTGGTGCAGTGTTGGGATAATTCACCTTTAAGAAGCTTTAAAGTGATATTCAAGTCAAAACTGGAGCAGACAGAATCTGCCCATGGCAACCAATCAACCTCTCTCTTCAGTTTGTTCAGTTAAGATTTGAAAATAAATATATTCTCTTTGAAAAATACACATATAGATACATATACCGTATTTTTCGCTCCATAAGACGCACTTTTTTCCCCCCAAAAGGAGGGGGAAAAAGTGCCTGCGTCTTATGGAGCGAATCCCGACGCCCGAGACATGCAGTTTCGGGCGCCGGGCGAGTAGTAGGAGATCACTCGTATTAAAGCCGAGCGGCGGCGATCGAGTTCAGCAGTAATACGAGATCACTCGTATTAAAGCCGAGCGGCGGCGATCGAGTTCAGCAGCAGGAGCCACTGCTCGTTTAATACGAGTGATCTAATGAGATCACTCGTATTAAAACCGAGCAGCGACGACGATCGAGATAACCATAGAGCAGACGAAGAATAGACGTTCTTCGCCTGCTCTGTGTCATCACTGAGACCGTGGCGCTGTAATCACAGCGCCACCTGTCTCAGCGGTCACTAACTGCAGCTTCTGTCACAGCTTCTGTCATAGAAGCTACAGTCTCGAGTGCTCCATAAGCCGCGCCGGACCTCCCTGCGTCCTATGGTCCGGTGCGTCTTATGGACCGCAAAATACGGTAGATTGCGCCAGAATATGCGTAAATGTGATTTGACATATACGGTATTTCTCTTTTGTTATATATTTCTCCCCGTCACTTACCCCATCTGGCTCTTTCTTTTCTTGTCATTTCTTATCGCTTCTCTGCTTTACTGTGTACCCTTGTGGTCCAGCTTCTTTTCTTTTTGCAAGGATGTGCAGCGTCTGGTCGTTCTGCTGACCACTGATATCAGGTTTTGCCCTTCTGCTGGGTGCATCCTAATCCCATTCCCTTTTTGTTGCTAAAGTTTGATACGTTTTAGATACAACCACTGCAGCTTTTATGCTCATGTGTGAGATTTGCGGTTGGGTAGTCCTGAGCATTTTGCCCCTTCCTTTTGAGCCGGGGGGGGCCTTGAAGATACTGGCGGCCTTTGGTAGCATATTATATTTTATGTCTTTGCGGCACAATTTGTTGTTTCTCTGTCTGCACTTGTGAAAAGATTTCAAAATAAAGAAATACATATTTTAGGTATGGTGTGTGAATAGGAACACATGACAATCCTATAGTGGGTTTTCTCAAATTTGACTGCGAAAGTGCAAATGCACTTTAAACACCAACCTGAAAAGCAAAAGGTAACAAAGACTTTCGAGATTACAATAGAATGTTAGTGGGATTGTGGAGGCTTTGTATGTGTTTGTATATTTTTGTTACCACTGACGTGTTGGTGCTTTGTTAGAGGCTTCCTAGCAAAGGGTTTATAGACGAAGAAGGTGGATAATGTTAACAAGAGTGCACTACAATTCACTGTTTATAGATGCTTTAGTCTGTGGTGTTTCAGTGTTGCCGTCCCTGTGGCTGACGTACTAACAACGCAGAAATGTGATTTCATTTGAACATTTTGCTTAGTCTAAATTCCCCAACCACGGCTGTGACCAGGCTACTAAAGAGTACAGGCCAGCTTGACCTACCATTGTGTTTTTTGGATTTGGAATGTCCACATTTAAAGATAGAAGGATCATTGACTAGCCACAGAATGTGCGTTAAGTTGTAAACATGCCAGTGAGATGAATGTTTTTCTGTCTTTCTAAAGACTGCTGTGTTTATGGATCTGGTGGATGTCAGAACATTTCTTTTTGTGGTTTTCTCTAAGCCATCTAAACACCTCCTGAAAGCATACCATAGTTTACTCTCGTTTGTTTTGTCTCTTACGCGTTAGCCGTAACATTTATGTACACGCATTCCAGCCACACATTCAGATGTAGGCAGAGTCCACATAGATATGTTTTAACATATTCTGGTCAGGAGCCATTAGGATTTAGGGAATAAAAACTATTATTCCATATCTTGCATTAATGACAGCCAACAATCTCAAACCAAATGGATGCCTTTTGGGAATGGGGCTTAATAAATTAGGTGGTATCTGTGCTGTAAACCTTCAGTTCTGGTTGCATGGTTTGGGCACCAATGCATAGAAAATTGACTGAAATGTCACCATCCATCTTGAAATGATGACATTTATGTTTTTTGGATTTTTAAGAAATTATTAAAAATTAATACAGTCTATTCTAAAATTGTACTACTGTACATTCTGTTTAATGGGAATTAAATCCATATGGGCCAAGACGAGACCCAGTACACAGCCCTGGCGAGACCCAGCATTTAAAGAAGAACTATGAGGTGAGTGAAAATCACTCATCCGCATAATTCGAGGCGACATTTGACAATTAAACTGTCACAAGTCGGCTCAATAGATCGGGAAGTGAGCGAACACATACCGTCGCTCCCTCACTTTTCGATCGTCTCCATGCAGTGAGCGGTGACTATCAGTCACGGCTCCCCGCAGGGATTCCACGCTCCGATCCTCCAGCACTGACTGGAGGAACAGACGGGGAAGGGGGCGGGTACAGCTGGCACTGCCTCTAGATAGGCAGAGCCAGCTGTCACACACGCAGCTGAGCGGATCTCGACGGTAATGTCTGGATCCGCTCCGGCTGCGGCGGTCTCAGTATACCGCAAGCTGTAGCTCACGATATACTGAGCTTTGGGTGACGGGAGGACGCTAGTTTATGTCCTCCCGAGCCCCGTAGGAGAACTATGGGGAAAAACACTTACCCCATAGTTCTTTTAAATGCAGGAAATCGAAGCAGAATGCATTCTGCTAAAGTAGGGCCAGTACAACATGGAACTTTTTAGAAAAAGTTTTAGGTCATTTTTTTTAAAAGCTTTCATTCACACCAAATGTGCAAGACCAGGCAATTTTCTTTGTCACAGATGGGCTCAGTGCACATCCCTGTTTTGTGGTGGTGTGCACAGAAAAATAGTACTGCATGCAGTACTTTTTTCACCGCAGCGGGCCGCAACATTGCACCCCGCTGTGCCCATAGAATGTAAGGAAATGTCACTTGGGACATTTCAATAAAGTTCTAACAAAAAATAATGTAAACAGTGTAATGCACCAGGATCAGTGTATCTGCACTGTGACTGCTAACACACACCAGTGGCTGTGCATTGTAGCGCAGTTGCTGGTTTAAATGCAGCATGACAGTCGGCTGTCTCAGTACTGCACTGTTTCTGGGTGAGGTGGACTGGTAGTCCAGCAATGTAGATGTGACCGCACTAGCTGGTTTCCTGGTCGTCCTCTTTTGCTAACATTTCTGCTGAGAATACTCTTCTGGATCCTGAGAGGTTCCTGCTGCTGGAGAGTCAATAGGAAGTGTCCACATTATGCAGGTAGTGATTTAGAAAAACAAAGAAGGATTAGAGGACTCGGGCCTGGAGTATTGCAAGACTGCAGATTTGTCTTCATTGCCAGCGAATAGTTTGGGATTTG